ATAGATAGATAGATAGATAGATAGATAGATAGATAGATAGATAGATAGATAGATAGATAGATAGATAGATGATAGATAGATAGTGAAGTCTGAACAGTAAGACCACAACAGCTTTTTTTAAAATTTAATTTTATTATTATTTTTAACACAACAGCTGAAGCTGCTGCAGACACACATTATCACACCCACTGCGTGGAGACACACAGACACAGAGCAGAACCGACCCGACCCAAAGTGTATCGAGTAGAACCGAGTTCATGAGAGGGGCTGAACAGGTGCCGCTGCAGTGGACAGTTATATATTATATATTATAGTCGAGGTGTGGAAAGCAAAACGGTCCAAAGTGTGGTGTCACTTTACAAACATGATGCAGAAACTTCCACCTACAACAAATKATTGAAGAATATTTGGTGCAAAGACAAATTATTAATGGTTTTAAGTTAATATGTTGGTCAATTTCATGTTTGACTTTGCCTCAGAAATAGTCATTGCTTCATAAACCTCTGTGTGAGTGTGTGTGTTTTATTTATTTATTTTTAAAGTACCGATTTAAATACTGTTTAGGAACCGGTACCATTTTGAAAGTATCGATTTAAACCCTTTCAGTACCCAACCCTAGTTCTAGCCCTTGCTCATTAAGTTTGTTGCCCACATCATACCCTTTTTGGCCTTGTCAGTATCCATTAATGATGTAATCTACTGGATTACATTTTTAAAACACCCAGTGAGATTCTACCGTAAAGGATTTGTTTGAATGCAGATCCTAACATCATTGAGAATATCTTCTGATGCTACAGATTTGCTCAAATGTTTTTTTTTTTTTTTCATTATTTTGGGAAATCCTTAAGTTGGGATGGTGACAAAACCGTCGACTGAACAGACACAAGATTTCTCCATCCATAATGAGGACTTTCCTGCACTGCCTGGGCCAAACTATAAGGACACCACACTGAACAACGATGACAGTAAAACTGTAAGAGCCACCGATGGCCCCACAGGTCATCTTTGTATTTGTATCCAGGGTATCAATTGACAACAATCAGCGTTCTGAATTCACACTTTTCTGTGAGTTAAAGTGATTTATTTAGTTTTTGTTGTTTTCCCGTTCAGAACTTGAACTCCACAAGCAAGAGCACATCCAGCACAGATGGGCCAAAGTTCCCCGGAGACAAGACGGCGTCGGCACAGAACAACAACCAGAAGAAAGGGATCCAGGTGTTGCCAGATGGTGAGACTTCACAGCCAATCGTATCGCTCCAATTCCTCAGAGACATCCCTTCTTAATCGCACAGCTTGGGTGAGGCTGTTGGGCTCTTCACCCTGTATTTTGGAGTTTGATAAATGTGGGATAAGCTACTGCGAGGTGACCGAAAGCTTTAATATTCAGTATGAAACGTTTTTGTTTTGTTTAACGAAAATGTGGTTGGCTTGTTTTGCTCTCCGGTGTGTACACAAATCTAAAAATATGGTGGTGGTTTCACAGTAAGTATCTGCCGTAGATCACGGCTCCACAGCAGATCTGTGGATTGTTGAAACATGAATCGTTCYGCCGCCGCAGGTCGGGTGACGAACATTCCCTCGGGAATGGTGACGGACCAGTTCGGCATGATCGGTCTGCTRACGTTTATCCGGGCCGCAGAGACGGAACCGGGAATGGTCCACCTGGCACTAGGGAGCGATCTCACGACACTGGGACTCAACCTGAACTCACCAGAGTAAGACAGCAGTTTTACTGTAAACAGTTAGTTTTATTAGATGTAAARTAAGTTTTAACTCTAAAAGGAAAAAGTGACTCAATCAAGTACTTGTCGTTGTCAAAATTATTTGGTGATTTTGCTAAAAACTGACTTCCCTCTTTGACAGAAACTTGTACCCCAAGTTCGCCTCTCCCTGGGCATCAGCACCATGTCGGCCTCAGGACATCGGTAAGTTAAAGGGTGTGAGAGGTTTTAATGTCAGTTATTGCATTTAACAAAATAAAAACTGTTTTGTTACACTAATAGCTGTTAAGTGTTTTTTTAAAAAGCTTAATAGTTTGATAACTTTTTATCTACACTTGTGTTTCCAGACTTCCACGTTCCATCGGAGTATTTAACCAACATCCATATAAGAGACAAGGTAATTATATCATAACAATTTTACAAAGAGCATCACATTGATCTGTGCACTTTGTGGTCACTTGTTTTTTGTTTTAAAAGCAGATATTGGAAAAACAGATGGATATTTTTACATTATTCTCCAGAAATGATCTGTCTTTTTATTTCATCACAAACAATCAGCTGTTAAAGTCAAACTAGTCTGCTAGTGTTTATTAATTGCGGTCGCCAGGTTAGCTAGGTATAAATTACAACTTCTTTAATCATTTCATTATCAGACCATTTAAGGTGGAGCTTGATAAATAGTTTTTTTTTAAGAAATGATCTAGACTAGCTCTAGTAATAACAAATAGTCTGCAGTTAGTTAAAGAAAAGCAGAAGTAGTTAGCTAGTGTTTATTTACTTACAAGCAGCTGCCTACTAATAAAAAGTTATTTAACTAGCTCCGCCTTAAATTGTCTGAACGATAGCGTTAACTTCTGGTTTGACAAATAAAAGGATGGACGTTGTCCTGTTTTCGGAGTCTAAAACGGAAACAGAACCATTTGTTTTTCATTTTTTTCAAATCTGTTTTTAAAAAGAAAAAAAAAGAATAACCAAAAAGTACACTTACCCATATCACAGGAAATAAAACTAGTGTTTCTTTTTACTTGCTTGTCTCTAGTTGGCTGCAATTAAGTTGGCGCGATACGGTGAAGACCTGTTGTTCTACTTGTACTACATGAACGGAGGCGATCTACTACAGATCCTGGCAGCAGTAGAGCTGTAAGTATCAGGGGGTTTTTTTTTGTTGTTTTTTTTAAATCGGCAAGGTTTAGAAAAGTGACGATGTCAATTTTGAAGCAAATCTATGAAGGTCAACACGAGCTTTCTTTTTTTATTTATATTTTTTTTCAAACATTAAAAAATGACAATAAAACTGAAAGAACCATATGTCAAACAAAGCCAAACAATATGTTTGGAAAATGCTTATCTAGTCCTACCCCCATTGTCTTTTACCCTATTCAGTTCAGTATGACTTTTTTTAAGCAATGCTGTATTAAATTCTTACTTAACTGTATTAGTTTACACACTGCCCCAAACCCTTCCACTTTTCTAGAGCTCGACAAAATACTGTTCTTAACCATTTCCTTAAGCTGACCAATAGATCTGCTTCGATTTAATCTAAATCAATACATAAAGTCTCAACCCAAGAGGAAACACACATTTGTATGGACGTTGTTTTTTTGTAGTCTTCACAGGGAGAGGTGATTATTATCCTTAATGACATCATTTTGTGCCATAATGACACAAAATACAACACTTCACCAGTTTCACTTTCACTCTTAAATGCATCTGTCTTCTGTTTCCCACAGATTTGTTGAAAAAGTGTTGATTTTTTTTTAATATAAGAAAAATGTTTTGTAAAAACAGTAAAATAAAACTATTTGAAAATCACCTACAAAGTGTGCATATGTATTTAGCACAAAAAGTGAGGAAATTTGTGTTTGTTGTAACACTGCTTCATGGCTTCAAATCTATTATTTGTAGATTTAACCGGGATTGGAGGTACCACAAAGAGGAGCGGGTTTGGATAACGCGAGCACCTGGCATGGAGCCCACACTCAAGACCAACACCTACGAGAGGGGCACCTACTACTTTTTTGATTGTCTTAACTGGAGGAAAGTTGCCAAGGTAAGACTTCKTAACCCTCTTTTACAGACTCTTTGTTGTGACTTTTGAAAGTGACATCAAAAACTCTGCCCGCATCTTGAAGGAATTTCATCTGGAGTACGACAAGCTGGAGGAGAGGCCTCACGTGCCAACCACCTTCAACTACAATCCAGCCCAGCAGGCCTTCTAAGGCCCAACCAGTCCAAAGGCCGCAGCTGTTCCTGCACACAGCCCTGCTGTCCAGGACGGGCGCTGCGGGACTCACAGCTTGGTTTTTATTCCTCAAGGATTCGGCTGTTCGACTGCAGGGGTTGTGATCACCATTAAACTGTCCTGCCTTTTTCTGAATTTACATTCTACCCAAAACACTTGTTCCGTTTTTATTCAAATTATTATTTTTGTCTTGTTTTGAGCAGGGTCTGTGTTATGTTTACGTCTCTGAATCTGAAGCCTTCTTTCTCCTGGGGAGGAGGACCGACCTTGTGACAGAACAAAGCTTCCACCTCTTATTTACAGCAAGTGTTCAGAACACAAAAAAAGGTGGAAAAGTTAGCATTTTCAGACACAAGTGAAGGGGTGAAAGAAATGCAATGTTTATTGTTGCACTATATTTAGTAATAAAATAACACAAAATTTGTTTGTGCTTTTTTATACGAACACTCCTCGACAGTGTTTACCCGCCGCCTCCTCTTCGAGTCACGCTTTGTTTTGGATCATCTTGTGYAGTTTTTATCTCGTTTCCTTCTTCCATCAGTCATTTCCTCCCAAACTTCTGTATTTGCACTACCAAACCTCTTTTTCTTTCTGTCTCAAACTTTTTGTCTGTTTGTGATTTTCGAACCGACCAAACATTGACAAAAATCTGGGAGATGCTTCAGTTTCCAGTTTTCTTAGGAATCGTCCCAGAGGCTGAACTATTACCAACTTTGCTCAAGAGCAAACAAAACTCTTTCCAGTCTTTGTTACAATTTTGTAAGAATCTTACTTTTTTTGTTCTTTGCATCACATAAATTAGTACATGTATGTATACCTGTGTATATATGAT